GCATTATGGATGTGGTCAGTTAATGCATTGTGGATGTAGTCAGTGAATACATCATTTATGTGGTCAGTGAATGCATTGTGGATGTAGTCAGTGAATACATCATTTATGTGGTCAGTGAATGCATTGTGGATGTGGTCAGTGAATGCATCACCCAGTTGGCAGGTAAACAGTCAGAGTCATTTCAGAGTTTGCAGTGAAGGATTCTGTCTTTGTGCATCTCTAAGTTTATTGGTTGTTGATCCTCAGCTTGAAGGAAACCCGTCCTGCAAACCTGTCCCTTTCACTGCCGGCCTGCAGGGTGTTGGACACCACCTTACATTCCACGTTGATGTCAGTGTTCAGAGAGGCGTTTAGGAACTTCACGGCCACCAGAGGCTGAGTGTAGTTCACCTATAATACAGAACAAATCCAATCTTAGCAATCGTTTCTAGACTGATATCAGACAATAATGAAGATGAAATTCAGAAATGACCTCAGACATCAGGTGACATTAAAAGCAACAGAATCAGGGTAGAAGATTACCAAGTACATGTTAGACACTACAACTCATTAACACATCGAAACCTTCAATCCGACATAAATGTTTATTATAACGGCACAGATGGAGTCATTATCTTCAGCGCCCCTGTATAAAGCATGACTACACAAAATGAAATCTGGAGCCATTTTTAAGGCAAAACTGGGGATGATAAAGAATATAAATCCCCTGAGCCATCTCCATGGAAACCATTTCTTAATGCTGCTCAGTTTTACCTCAAGATATGCTTTGATAAAAAGACATTCAATCCCAGTTTGAATCTAGAAGCGTAGTTCCAGATGGGATCAGATCTCCTGCCCACTTCCTCAGTAGTTTCTTTTCTTTTGGAGCCTTTTTTTTTACATTCCTTCCAAAAAGTGTGAATTTATTTTTATTATGAAACTGGTCAACTGGTCTCAATGCTACGGATACACTGCTTTTGACATGAAGACATGCTAAGGGAGAACCCTTAAGTTCAGACGGGTTGTTTTTCTATGGATACACTGTGGACTTATGTAAGACTTTGAGTCTGATATTGTCGGTGGAGGACATGGAAGACATGTACTTAATTAGATTTCTGATAACAGGATTTCTGCTGCTTGGAATGGGCAGATACATTGGCAGAATGGTAAACTGGATGGTCCTTGCACAGGATCAGAGGCTTGCTATGGTTCCTGGACTCAGATGTTTAATGGGATAATATTGATTGTAAACTCGGGCTGGGCGGCAGGTCCAGGGATCTGTCTAATGGGAATCGCCATGTGAGACACCAGTAAAAACTCTCCAGGCTTGCAGAAAGAAAATCACCATCCAGCCTGACCCAAACATTCAGTTTGAATCTAAAATCTGGCCTAAAATAANGTGGATGTGGTCAGTGAATGCATCTTGTGTGTGGTCAGTGAATGCATCGTGGATGTGGTCAGTGAATGCATCTTGTGTGTGGTTTAGTGAATGCATTGTGGATGTGGTCAGTGAATGCATCATATATGTGGTCAGTGAATGAATCGTGGATGTAGTCAGTGAATGCATCATTTATGTAGTCAGTGAATGCATCTTGTGTGTGGTCAGTGAATGCATTATGGATGTGGTCAGGAATGCATCGTGGATGTGGTCAGTGAATGCATCGTGGATCTGGTCAGTGAATGCATTGTGGATCTGGTCAGTGAATGCATTGTGGATCTGGTCAGTGAATGCATATTGTGTGTGGTCAGTGAATGCATCGTGGATGTGGTCAGTTAATGCATCATATATGTGGTCAGTGAATGCATCGTGGATGTGGTCAGTTAATGCATCATATATGTGGTCAGTGAATGCATTGTGGATGTAGTCAGTGAATGCATCATGGATGTGGTCAGTGAATGCATCACCCAGTTGGCAG